TCTGTTGAAGGAGGCACATTGATTGATTTATATATCCACGGTTGTGGGACGAAGGAGGATGCCAACCATGCCATGCATTCACTCACTCAGTCACTCACTCACTACTGTTGTCTGTCTGTCTGTCTGTTGCCTGTCTTTCTTTCTGGGTGCCTGCCTGGATTTATTTGGTCGATTTACTGATTGCTCTGTGCAGTGGGTGCCCCGCCTCCTCCCTTGTCGTCCATACCCCCTCCTCCCCCCGTCAAGAGCGACTGTGTGGGCGAATGGCAGCTGGATCAGCCATGCACGATCCTGCCGGACGATTCGGGGCGGCTGCGATGCGTCAAAGTGATGATGTACCTTCACAAGCGCTCCAAGGTTGGAGGGGGCCAACCATGTGAGAGGGAACATGGCGCGAGGGAAACCAGGGAGTGCGAGGAGACCGAGTGCGGCAGAAAAGAGGCCAAACTGCCGCTGCCCCCTCCCGCCGCTCATCCGCCGCCACCACTTCCTGAGACAACAGGGCCGGTTGTTGTTTCTCCCCCAGAAGAGCCATGTGAGATGGAGGAGTGCAACGAAGGTGAATCACGGAGACGGGTGATCCGTATTTTCGACGCATCATCGTCATTAATGGAGAGGACGGCCGGGGATGACTCTCCCAGCATTGCGATTCAAGAAATGGATGTGGCGTATGATCCTCTCTCTGGTGCAGCAACTGTGTCGTACAGCGATGAGTTAGCTACGAATGTGATGCCCTCGAGCGAGGAGATCTTAGGGTCTTATGCGATTGTTGTTGGACGGGAGTTGAGGGGCTTCCGTGTGAACGTCTTCTGATCAGATGGGGTTTAGTCCATGAAATAGTAAGTGTTTGGCTACAAGACATCTTCCTTCCGATGCATGACGGACGTGAGGTGAGCTGGTGGTGGATGGATGGATGGATCGACCACACAGATGGAGGAAACCGATCGGTTGACAGACAAAATCGCAGCAGAGTCCCATGCACGCACACATGTAAGCAGTCGCTTCCAGCGCATACAAACATACAGAGGCACATGATACAGAGTCATACATCAATGTCATGTGCCTGGATGACAATCCCATTGGCCACGTGGCCTTCAGGTGGTCGACACGAACCACCTGACAGCTGCGTAGCCAATAGCATCGGAACCCACACACCTGGCGCCGCACAGCAGCAACACACCATCCAAGACAGGTCTTCACAACACCGCGCCACCCACAATTCAGAGCATTTCAACATGTGGACAATTGGATGCCACTGAGCAAGTAAGTCAAGGCACACGCACTCTCAAACACACACATACGGAGGGGGGGGCTGTCTTCCGTGCCTGTCGCATCACATCCATCCAAAGTATGTTGGACGGCCTCCCAACCGATTAGATTACTCACATAAGCACACATCGTGTGTATGAGACACGCCTCTGTCGGCATGTTGGTCGGTCTGTCTGTCTGTCTATCTGTGTGCACATATATTGATTATGCAAGCTGTCTATCGCTGACGATGCCGTGCTGCTTGAGGATCGTCTGGCTGACTCGCTGCACCACCTCCTTCTGCAAAACCAGCTCCTGCTCACCATCCATCTCAAAGATGAAGAAGCCCTCCGTGCCACTGCTGCCGCTGGTGCTGCTGCTGCTGCCCCCCTCAGCAGCACCTCCCCCAGCAGCCCCAGGATTGGCTGCATTATCACAAGCCAGCCCCCGTTGGCTGACAGGCAGGTCGTCTCTGTCCTCGAGCATGGTGACGAGGTGTTGGAGGTTCTTGACCTTGATCCCGTTCACCTTGTGGACCCTAGTGTGCTTGAGCTCGTAGCCCGATGTGATGTCGGAGGCCAGGATCTGGCTGACGATGACCACCTCCTCCCCCTCCTCCTTCTTGAAGTACTCCTGCAGCAGCTGGAGCAAAGCCGTCGGTGCGTTAGACATGTACTTGCGCTGCCCGAACTCCTCGCGCAAATAATCCAGCGTCAAAGGGGTGAACACCAAACCACCTGAAGGGAAGGGACAAACAAACAAGTATCTGCACATACATGAATTGGATGAGGCGGTGCTCTGTGCCATGTGTGCGTGTGTTGGCTGGGGTGAGCTGACTGACCGTATATGAAGTATCTGGGCGTCTTGTCCCACTGGTGCTCAGGAATGAGTGAGTTGGAGGGGACCAGCGGGACAGAGATGTTGAGGACCCTGCCGTCCCGCAGGATCGTCAGCTCCACCTCCTCATCAGGGAACTTGTCCAGCAGCGCATACGACAGGCCCACCCGCTCCATGTTCCGAAACACTATGGTGCCTGCAGAAAGCAGCCAAGACAGGAAGGAACAGAGAAAGGACACATGATGCCAACGAGCCCCTTCGCTCATGCCTTGCATCTCTCTCTCTCCCACCCAGCTGACTGACCGTCGTCGGCCACGTCGTTGCCCGCAATGGCCATGATGACGTCCCGTTTCTTGAGAACAGTGCTGGTGCTGTTTGTGGTGCTGTCGCTGTCGACCTTGCCCTTCCTGGAGGGGTCCACCTGGCACACCACGATGCCCGTCGCCGACACACCAGCAGGCAGGTCCTCCACCCTCACATCCGTCATGCCCAAATACTTGCGGAAGGATGGGTTCTCGAGCGTTTGGTAGATGATGCCCAGCGTCACAAATCCTGCACACACACAGCAGCACAGCAGAGGGGATCATGATATACACACGTGTGGGGACAGACAGCTACTCTGTTGGTGACGTGTCTGTGTCGGTCGGTGTCTGACCAGTGTATTTGTGGTGCTGCTCGAGGTCTTTCAAGAACCGATTCACCACCACTGTCGGGATAATGTAGCCTGCACACGCCAAACCGACACATGACAACCACACCACAGTGCTCATTCCACGTGTTCGTCCCGCCCCGCCTGGGCTGCTCGACTGCCTGGCACACCGCCCCGCACCCACTGACCCACCGATGCTCTGCGCCTCGTCATATCCCTGGAAAGCCACGCCCACCACCTTGCCATCCTTGTTGACCGCCGGGCCCCCCGAGTTGCCCGCATTGATGGCCGCATCAATCTGGGTGCACAGCAGCCTGAAGTTGCCGTGCGTGTAGCTCAGGATGTCGTTCCTGGACACAACGCCAGCCGTGATACACAGGGAGTCGCCGCCCATCGGGTACCCCACAACCACCAAAGGGTCCTGCAGCATCGGAGTCTCGCCGAAGGTCAGTGGGTTGACGTCCTTCCCTGCATGTTCGCACAGCATACATGGAGGCAGGCAGGCAGACAGGTGGGACGTGGGTACGGTGCAGACGTGTGCGTATCGCATGTGGGTGGTGTTGGTGTGTGTGCGTATGTACAGAATTCCTCGTCGTCGACTGTCACGACGGCCAGATCGCATTCGTGACCCGAGGCAATGAGGCGTGCCGGGTACTTCTTGGCGTCCCCATGCTTCCTTATCAATATCCGATTCTGCACGCACACGTGTAAACCAACCATACCCACCCACACTCAGACGCACACACCGGCACCGCACACGTCTGTTTCCCTACCTACCTGGTTAGCCACCACGTGCGCATTGGTGATGATGCGCCGATCCTCAATGATAAAACCTGACAACCAACAACCATCCAATCCAATACCAAATCAATCGGCCCCTTGTCTGATGTCTGGTGTCAGATCAGTCACCTGATCCGGTGGTTTTGGTTTGCCTCCTCATTTGCCATGGCATGGCGAAACTCGGGTCGGTGTAGTCGACAAACACCTTGACCACCGAGGGAAAGATCGCATTGAAGCCGCCCTCTGCGGAGACGAGAGGCTGTGGGTGGGGCTGTGCATGTGGCGGCACGTCTGGCCGGAGGACCTCATCCTGCTCACTCTCCTCCCGCGGCTCGATGCCCACACGGATGTCGCCTCCAGCCGCATGAAGCGCACTCAGCGACATACATCGTGCTGCCGAGGGCCGCCAATGCATGCTACCGCCGCTGCAGCCGCCGTGGCTCCTGCATGACCGCAGAAGGGAGGATGCGAGCGTGGTGGCCGCTGACGGGTGCTGCTGCCTCAAAGAATGGGACGTGTGCCTGCGTGCGGTGTGCTGCGCCCTCCGGTTGGCCGTGAATGCCATGACGGCCGGCGAGGGAAGGAAGCCGCTGTTAGCCGCCGCGATGTTCTTGTGCCGTCGTGCATGTTGGTGCAGCGCCGATGCGCCCATTGCGGCCTGCGCCTTGCGAGCGGATATCCCGCTGCCACTCATCAGCATGATGAAAGCTGAGAAGAAGGCGGGCCAGATCTGCGATGAGAACCACCGTCGTGCTTTTCCCTTGGGCATCCTCCTTCTCCCTCCCCTCTAAGCTCGCAGCCTCTTCGCGAGCTTTCCATAGGGCAGCAGAGGGCGCCAAAAAAAGGCCATTTGGTTTGAGAGTGACCGCCTGTTGAAGCGTTCGTGTAACTGTTGCTGCCATGGCGACGCGCATCAGTAGTATGTGCATCCGCGGCCTCGGCGCCCTCCCGGGGCGCTTTGCGACGTCGCTGCCCAACCATCTGGCCACATACAAATTCCATGTAAGCGACAAAAGCTGACGGGACACAGGGGGTCACGATAAGAGGCTGTGGGAGGGTGCGTATGGATGATGGATGGTATGCTGGTGGCACCCGTTGGTGTGATGTGTGACCTGTCAGAAATGGCTCAACACATCGCCTGCTCGTCTGGGATTGGTCACCTTCAAATTGGCCGATATCGGAGAAGGTAGGTATCCATCCATTGGCTGAGGGCCTGAGGACCACAACCAGCGGCGTGACTGCATGCAATCCTCCATTCATTCACTGCTGTGTGTGTCGTCTCGTCTGTGTTGTGCAGGCATTGCTGAGGTGGAGCTGCTCAAGAACTACAAAAAAGTGGGCGAGGAGATCGAAGAGGTGGGTGAGCCACACAGAGATGTGAGTGACGCGTGTAGGCCATTGTGTGAAAGATCCTGCCTGCATCCAATCCATCCCTTTCCTTTGGTTTGATCCCATCCCATCAGATGGAGCAGGTGTGCGAGGTGCAGAGTGACAAGGCTGCCGTGGAGATCACCAGTCGCTACAGCGGCCTGATCAAGAAGATATACAACAACGAAGGCGACGTCATCAAAATCGGCGCACCACTCATGGACATCGAAGTCGAGGGCGAGGGTCAGCCAGCCAACCGACAAAGCCCACCAATGACCATCCTCGCTCTATGCCATCCTTCTAATTGTGTGGTGTGTGCGTCTGCACAAAGGTGATGATGAGGCGCCCGAGCCAGTGGCTGAAGCCCCGAAGGCCCCGCCCAAGGAGGCGCCCAAGGCGGCCGCCCCCGCTGCTGGTGCCGGCAAGAAGGGCGGGGAGGCTGCACCGGCCGTCAGACGACTCGCTAAGGAACTGGGGGTCGACCTCGCCAACGTGGCGGTCAGTGAGTGAGGGGGGGAGGCTAGCCATCAATCTTTACGTGAGATACTGATGCTGATGTGTCGGTGGTTGGTTCGTATATCAGGGCTCTGGCAAGGGTGGCCGCATCACCAAGGAAGATGTCGAGGCCGCTGCCAAGGTGGGTAAGAGACGCACCCACCGGTGTCTGGCCATGGCAGACCGAACAGAAATGCCTCTCTCTGATGCTCTCTCTGTGCAGGGTGGTGCCCCGGCGGCATCCCCCGCTGGTGCTGTTGGTGCTGCGGCCACACCAATCATCACACTGCCCACTCGACCGCCCAAGGAGAATGTGTATGTGACGGGAGAAATGGCTACTGCCTCACACCCCTCTCGGCCCATTTGCTGCCTGTCTGTGTGTCTGGTCTGCAGTGAGGTGCCGATTCGTGGGTTCGCCCGCGCTATGGTCAAGGTAAGGCGTTCGTGGACCCGATGTCAGTCGGAAAGACGGCAGCCAGTCTGCCTCTGCCGTATGGTGGTTGTTGTGTCGGTGTCAGAGCATGGAGGCCTCCCTCAAGGTGCCGCACATGAACGTTGGTGACGAGATCGACGTGTCCAAATTGGTGACAAGAAAGAAAGAACCTTGATACACACACACACACACGCACACACACGTGTACCGGCTACTGCGTGCTTCTGACTCCTTGCTGCCCCCTCCCCTCCCCTCCCCCCTCAGATGGAGTTGCGGGCTGAGTTGCGCCCCGTGGTTGAGAAGACGTTTGGTCTGAAGCTGACGGTGACGCCCCTCGTCATCAAGGCCTTCTCCCTCGCCCTACTCAAGTACCCCATACTCAACTCCAAAATCGACCCATCCGGCGACAAGGTCGGTGCTTCCACGGAGGGGGAGGGAACACAGCCACCGTCTGTTTCCCTGTTCCCTCTTGGTCTGTTCATTCATTCAGTACACTCAATTCGGTTCGCACAACATATCGATGGCCATCGACACGCCCAACGGTGAACGATCGACGCAGAAAGAGACTGTCATGATGGCTTTGCGTTGTATGTATGCCTGTTGTGGCCCGCCCCTTCCGTCAGGTCTGGTGGTGCCCAACATCAAGAACGTACAGGACCTCAACGTCGTGGAGATCCAGTCGGAGCTCTCCAGGCTCCAGAAACTGGTGGGCGGGGTGGACATGGCCATGCCATCACACACACACGATGGGCCGCTGATCTGATTGTGTGGGTGTGTGTGTGGCAGTCTCAAGACAACAAGTTGTCGAATGCGGACCTGACGGGCGGCACGGTGTCGATATCCAACGTGGGGGTCATCGGCGGCACATACGTCAAGGCCATCCTATTCGACGGACAGGCAAGCAAAGCAAAGCATGGTGGCACCCTCACAGCCAGCCGGCCAGGGCAGACAGACAGACAGACAGACAGACCAGCTCACACACGCGATGGATGGATGGACCATCATGATTTTCCTTCCTGCCTGCCTGCCTGCCTGTCTGTCCTATCCCATCTCATATATCAGGCCTTGATTTTCGCCCTCGGCAAGACGCAGGCGCTGCCGCGCTTCGATGACAAGGGAACGGTAGGCGCCGCACCCCCGCCGACAGCTAGCTCTGCGGTCTCATTGATTGGTTGATTGTGTGTGTGCAGGTGGTGAAGTCTCAGGTGATGAATGTCGGCTACTCTGCCGACCACCGGCACGTTGATGGGGCCACGGTGGCACGATTCGCGACAGAGTGAGTTGCAAGCAGAAAGGCCAGACGCGTCACCACATCGATCGGCACTGGTTGATGCTCTTGTCTTGTCTGTGTGTGTCTGGTCTGTCAGGCTGAAGATGTACCTCGAGAATCCCGGCATGATGCTCCTGCGCATGGCCTGATCGACATTGTCAATGATAGACGGACAGATCGGAATCGCTGTTTCTCGTTGACTGTGTGGTGTGTTGATGCATTTGTGGGCGGGGCTGCCGGCATGGCATTCACACCCGACGCCCGGCCACACGGTCGGGTGTGAATCCTCATGTTGGCAGCCCCGATCATGCTGCACAACAAACAACACACACAAATGACATGCCTACTCGGTCTCCCTCTCTCTCTCTCTGTGTGTGTCTGTCTGTCTGTCTGAGTGTGTTTTAACTGGCTCATTTGGTCGATTGATCGATTGCTTGATGCACACTTACGGCAATTTTGCTGGGGACTGACCGTGACCGAGTGTTTTCAGTTCCGCCTGTTTTGCGTGCTCGGTTGGATGGCCGCCAATGCGTCAGCTGCATGAAAGGGCCGACCGCTCAGACAGACCGATGACCGCTGCCTGCTCACCGCACTATCTGTCCATCCCATGACAGCCAGGCAGCCTATGGATGGCCATCAATCAACGGTGTCGCTCGCCTACAGATACGATACATGCGTACGCACATATATAGCTTAGCTAGGGATTGCAATCAATGACCTGCCTGCCTGCGTTGGATGGATGGCTGGCTGGATGGATGGATGTGTGTGTGTACAGATGTTAGTGCGTGGGTAGCTTAGCGTGGGCAATGGATGCATCAATCAATGGATTGTGTTGGTTGGCGTGACGTGACGTATATTCGGGTGTGCTCTGTGTCTCACAGACGGCCTGGCCTGTGTATGTATGTATTCAATGCCAACCCATGGACCACGCAAAACTCAAACATGGTCTTCCACCCACCCATCCCGTCCCATCCCATCCCATCCAGCCAAGACGACGTCAGTCAGGCAGCCCTCTGTACACTCACACACTCACACACACCATGCCTCCTACTCTTCGCTCCACTTCTTCACGCTGGCCCATCTATCCCTGGGCCGACTCATCTGACCCTCACTCCTCCCTTCAACACCACCACTCATACCACCGCCAGAGCTGCTCATGAACACACGTCGAGGGGGCGGGGGGGGCGCTGAGGCCAGCACAACACGACGAGAGCCCTTCGTATGGTGCATCGGTGGCGGCTCCTCGGCACCCTCATCATCCGAGTCGGCGAAAACCTTCCGGCGGCCGGCGAATGGGAAGAGCCGCCCGCTGTCGGTATCAGGCAGGCGCCGCTTCGTGCCTCGCCGACTGTCGCCCATGTCAAAGCCCACAGCGGCGTCGTGTGCATGTGCTGGTGCACCATAGTCTCCCCCTCCCTCTCCCCCTCCCCCTCCGCCACTCTTCTTCTTCTTCTTCTTCTTCTTCTTCCTCTTCTTCTTCTGCCTCGCCGCCACAGCCTCCATCCATTCGTGGTGCTTGTTCCGCGGCCGACAGTTGCACTGGTCGATGGTGTGCCGGGTGCCCCCACACGACGCACACGTCGCCACGCCGCCGGCGCCTCGCCGGCCACTTGCAGAGTGCGGGCAGTCCCCACAGATCAGATGGCCTCGTTCGCCGCACGTGACGCACGAAGGCGCGAAGTCCTCCCTGAGAGTCTTCTCCGACACAAACACCGAGTCCTCGTAGTGCTTCTGTGGGCAGGAGGCCGCCTCGTGGCCCTCATCGCCACACCTCCCGCACCGCACATCGCGATACGGGCACTCGGCAGACAAGTGGGAGGTGTCAAAGCAGTAGAAGCACGCCCATCGGGTGCAGTCGCTCGACTCATGGTCGCCGCCACAGAGAAGGCAGTACTGCTGCTGCTTCCTGTCGTAGGCCGCCTGCAGGTCACGAGGCGGGAAGGCACGGCGCGCCGCCTGAGGCGTCTGGAAGTAGCGGGCAATTGGTTTCCTTTTGACGAATGGAGGCGGAGAGCCGCTGGCCAGCGACAGGCGATCTGAATCGCCGACAGCGTCAGTTCTGGGCTGTCGCTTCTTGGCTGACACGGTCACCGAGGCTCCCTTGACGTCATACTGGAAGAGCGGCGGCTGGGGATGGTCGACAATGGCGTTGAACGAGCCTCTTCTTCTCTTCTTGTTGCGTCGCTGGGGGGATGAGGCCTGCTCTGGCGCAGCGAAGGGCACGTAGCTGTCACTGGGCTTCTTCTTCTTCTTTTTCTTCGCTGGCCTCGCTGACCCGTGCTCCATGTGGCCATTCATATCAGTTTCTCGCGCCGCATCGCTGTCAACGGTTTCACGGGCGATCGAATTCATCCTGGCGGGCGCTTGCTGTTATTCCCCTCTGCAGACAGACACAGACAGGAGGGGTATATGACAGACACGCAAGACGGCAAAGGAAAGACTGCGCATGCAATGCAAGTCAGTCAACCATGATTCCAAACTGCCTGCACTGCATGAAGAGATTGCATCTACACACACACGACAAGAATTGTATATCTATCCCTCGCGTACCTTGCTGCTGCGTACCGGTAGCGCCGCAAGGTACGCGCGGGGCTTAGGAACATGTTGCCCGTCAAACCCATAACCGCTGCTGCATAACCGACCGACCGACCATGAGTCCGTCGGGCGGCGTGAGGAAGGTTATTTTCGACACAGACGCTGGCGTCGATGACGCACTCGCACTGGTGAGTGGGCATCAAGCGCATGACGTGACGCACACAGCGAGGGAGAGATCTATGCATCGAAGGGCAAGTTCAGATCTGCCTGTTTTCGTCCATCCTTTGTCTGATTGATGGGTGCAGGTGTTGCTGCTGCGTGCCCCTGATGTGGATGTGATCGGCATCACCTGCTGTGCGGGCAATGTGGAGCTGGACCAGGTGGTGGAGAACGTCCTCAAGGTCCTCGCCGTGTGCAATGCAAACGTACCCGTCTACAGGTAGCTCTCGCCACCAGTCAGGCAGTGTCCACTCCCGCATTCGTGAAGGTGTCTGTCTGTCTGTTCTGGTCTGCCTGCAGGGGCGCACCGCACCCGCTCCTTGGTCAGAAAAAGAGAGTCCATGCAGGCTACTACGTGAGCCAACACAGATATATATATATTATTAGATAATCTGCCTTGTGTGATGGTTGGGTGCGTGTGTGATGGATTGGTGCGATCGATCAGCACGGCAGCGACGGCCGTGGCGACTCTGAGGAGGCCAGGCAGATCGACATCACAGCCCAGAAGCACCTGGTGTCGACAGAGAGCGCAGCCATGGGCATGTACAAAGTCGCCAAGGAGGCCATGGCGGCCGGCGACAAGATCACCCTCATTGCCGTCGCCCCACTGACCAACCTGGCGGCCGCGCACTCCATCGACCCCTGCTTCTCGTCGCTGCTCAAGGAAGTGGTCATTATGGGCGGAAACATGGAAGGCAAGGTGAGGTCAGGGGGCAGCGACCGATCTCATGGATGATGCATGCGTAACACGCCCATCTTGTTCCCCTCGTGTGTCTATTTGTCTACCAACCGATCGTCAGGGCAACATCACGTTATCAGCCGAGTTCAACTTTTACTTTGATCCCGAGGCGGCCAACATCGTGTTGGAGGAGTTCTGCTGCCCCCTCACCCTCTACACGTGGGAGCTGTGCCTGGAGCATCCCATTCCCGCCACCCAGTTCTCACAGATCGCCCACCCCGGCCACTCCCCCATATCGCAATACCTTTTCTGGATCAGCCACTACTCCGCCTACACACACCACAACGTCGACCTCGTCAAGATGCACTCGTCGCCCGACGTGCTGGCGGCGAAAAACAACACAGGCGGTGGCACGGTGGACGGCAATGATGACACTGAGGGAGACAAGGCCTTTGTGACGGCCGACCCCATGGCGGTGGCGTCGTGGATTGATCCGTCGATCGTGCTAGAGCGGCACACGAGGCCGGTGATGGTGGAGCTGGGCGGCCACTGGACGAGAGGCATGTGCATAGTAGACTGGGAGAAGAAGGCGGCCGATCCCGAGGTGCTGACGCCGCCCTTCTTCAACAAGGAGGAGCACAGGCGGGGCGTGGGCATCCCTACCAGGCTCGACACACACAAGATCGTACAGGTAGACACACACACACACAGGCAGACAGATAGACAGACAGACAGGTGTGTGGTTACAGTTAATAGTATGTGTGTCGTGTATGTGCATGTGTGTGTCAGATGATGCTGAGGGCCGCGGGCGCCCCGACGGCCGCCGAGTGATGATGAAAGCAGAGGCACCAGGGTGTCTGTCGTCCCGGTGGTGCTGCGCTCGCTCTGCAGTGAGTTGATTGCCTGACCAGCGTCTGTACCGACGGATATCCATCGCTGTTGGCGGACGCATGTCCGCCTGTCTGTCACATAGGAAAGTGCCTGCATTGATTGATGTATTAATGGACGGACGCCGATATCACATCGACACCGTAGGGTATGGTATGGTGTGTGCATTGTGTCGCATTGGAATCAGAAACGCCATAGGAAACAATGGAAATGATGAGTTCGATCGGAAAATTCTCGCTAAGCTCGCCGAGCTCGAGCTCGAGAAGGCAGAGCAGACGATGACGGTTGCTTTCGACACCTCCTTTGACCACTACTGGCCGTACTTGGCCATGGTTTCGCTGCCGGTGTTCGCCGTGTGGCTCCCATACAACCACCGTCGCCTCCAACAGCAGGAAGGCCGACCAGCCGCCCTCCTCACGCTGGGCATCGCTCTCACCCCGCTCTACATGATACATCAAGTATGTAAAGGGCCGGCCGAACTGATCCGCTGTATTCATTCCGTCCCATGCAATCACAGCGCCTGCCCTCTTGTCTGTATGTGTCGCTTTCAGTTCGAGGAGCACGCCATTGACTGTCTGGGGCGGCGATACAGCTTCATCGACTACTTCAACGCCATCGCCCCCGCCAAGTTCGGCGCCCTGCTCGACGCCCGCACTATCACACTTATCAACGTGCCACTTACCTGGCTGATCACGCCGCTGTTCGCCATCATGGCCCACGGCAAAGGGCGCTTCGACGCCGTCCCCATCTACCTCATGTGGTCAGCAAGAGGTCTTGCACATTTAAAAGAACGTGTGCATGTTTCTGTCAACCGGTTGGATTATCATGTGATGTGGTGCAGGGGGCTGGCCTTCTTCAATGCGACCTTTGCGCCCATCATGCCGGCCGTGCTGATGCGCAGCTACAACCCAGGCCTTGTCCAGTCGCTCTTCATGGCGCAGCATACCTCTACACGGCCACCAAGCACCACCAATTCGGCTGGCTGTCGCTGCTCGGGTGTCTGCTGTTCGGCGGGCCGGTGGGTCATGGGCTGTTTCTATTGGTGCCGCTGCGGCTGCTCACTCAGAGAGCTATCGGACACGCCATATTCGCTGTGTGGTTGCTGACGGGCCTGATGGCGGTGCCGGTGCTGATCAGCACTGTGCTGCAGTGCGTGGTTAGGGGTGGGGCGAGGGGAGAGAAGAAGGCCGCGTGATTTGGGTGAAAGGCAGGCGTGGGGGAGTAGTTTGGTCGATGGGTTGGTTGGGTTGGGTTGGGGGTCTCCCTGTCTGTCCTGCATTGGATTGGCTGTCGTCTTTGGCTGGGTTGTTGGCCGACTCCTCACTCATTATTGCGGCGAGTGGATTGACTGACATTTTGATGGCGTGCCGTGGTCTCTGTCTGTTGCAGGGTTGGATTGCTGGCCTTTGCTGCTTTGGTAGTGTATGTAGATGCCTCTGTTTCTTCTCTCTTGCTCACTCGGTCTGCTATGCTATGCCTTTTGTGTGCCGTTGATGCATCCGATGCGTATGGATACGAATGGACTGACTGACCCTGCCTGACCCGCTTGACTGAATGCACCTCGCTCTCGCTCATTTCCGGGCGTTTCATTGATTGCACTGCACTGCACCGGATGTACGTAACGATCCCTGAAATGCACACACGTCACACACACACGTCCACCCCTTCTCGTCTGCAAAATGTCAAGCTACCGCCACTCCACCCCTCCCCTCCGCTCCCCCGCAGGCCGCCAGCACTCATCTCTCTCGCTAAGTCTCTCTCGCTAAGTCTCTCTCCCTAAGTCTCTCTCGCTAAGACAATTGCACTGAGGTGCCGGGAAAACCGCTGCCCTTCGCCCCACCCCCTCTCTATGTGTGTGGTCACTCAGCCTGCCTTCTCCCCACCTCCCTTTTGTGCGTTGCGGCGCATCTCACACCCGCCCCCATCTGACTCTCTAACGGGCGTGACCGTGAACCGATTCCGGGCCGCCTCATGCAGCACAGAGGCCAGGTTAAACCGCGGTCGGGGGGCAGGGCACAGCACGACAGAGGTGAGAGAGGGCAGGACAGAGAAGACCTGAGCTACGGCATCGGCAAACGAGCGATACATGGCCTTGGCGCAGTCGCCATGCAGCCTGTGTCCCAGATGGATGCTGATCTGCCTGACGGGCCTCTGTACCCCCGTCCCCAGCTCCCCACCACTGAAGACATGCCAGCTGATGGCCCCTCCCCCTCCCTCGCCATCTCCCCCAGCACCACCACTACCACCCTTATTGTTCTTCTTCTTGCTGCTGCTACCCTGGCTGGGCACATTGTTGATCTCGACAGAGTAGTGGCACGTCAAGGCTACCTCCCTCCCCTGCCCACTGAGCAGATGGCGAGCACCGAACGGGACCAGACACAGTGTAGCGGTTGGGTCGATGTCGGGTCGCACCCTCATGTGGAAGGTGGCCTCCTCCACCGACGGCAGACCCCTCAGCACATCTCCCACACAAACAGCGTAAAACCCTAGCCCACCTCTTCCTCAGCTACAACTATCGACCGCACATTCGGCAGATACGAGGCGGGGTTGCCCGTGATGTATGAGGGCAGGGGAAGGTGCCCCCGCGACTCGATCCTGAGCTGTGTGATGCCCGCCCACACGAGCGACCCCCACATCTGCCCTGCCTGCTGGCCATGGACGCCCCCGTGCGAGTGGAGGATGCCATGGCCATGCCCGCCGCCGTGCGAGTGGAGGGTGCCATGGGTGGCGTGTCTGGCGAGGGCCTGGGCTGTGGCGATGGACGGCTGGAGGTCATTGATGTTGCCGGCGAAGGGCAGCTGGATCGCGAGGGGCTGCCTCTGCCGGCGGGGGTCGCGGCCGTCGGAGAGGTGGTAGCTCTCGAACGCGTTGGGGGCCAGGCAGGTCGTGCGAAAACGATGCAGCTTCTGCACACACACAGACAGACACACCGACGCGTTCATTGGGGTGGTGAGCTGAGCGGATGTCTGTGTACCGACCTGTATCTGAGCAACCGACGAGATGGGCCTCATTCCAAATTCTATGTGGCGCAGACGCCCCCCTCCCCCTGTCGCTGCCCCTGCCGTGCCTGCCCCAACAGCACCACCGCCGCCATTGTCGCAGATGACGTCGATGAACCTCTGCAGGTCGATGTTGAACCAGGCCACGTCGGCCCGGAACGCCACGCCAGTGAGGCTCGTGAGCGACGAGGCTGCATGGCACGCAGGCATTGATTGATCCATGTCATGTGCATCATGAATGCCGCGAGAAGATAGGCCCACCCCACCTGAGGGTGTGCCCTGGAGTGACTGTGTCGCGTCCTCAATCGTCACCTCGCCGTACAGCTTCGTGTCCGCCTGACAGACAGACACGAGCCAGTCAGCCAGTCAGTGAACCACACAAAACACAACCAGTCAGCCAAGCCGCCTAATGCACCATACCCCTCCTCTCGCTGAGCTGACCAGGTCCGAGGTGACGTGAAGTGCCGTCAGCCCGCCGGACGCCTTGGCGATCCAGGAGCGGGGCCCGTGTGTGCTGAGGTCCACCACGGAGAGGTCGCGCAGGGCCGGGAGGCTGTAGTTGCGCTGCTCGGCAATCGCCGACCACCCGTTGATGATGGTGGCCGTGTGTAGTTGGCTAAAGGTGAGGGGCGTCTTGTTGGGCATCATCCAGACCTGCTTGCGAACCTGCCCTCGCCCCCGGCGCCACACCAAGTGCCCCTCTGACCAGCAACACACACAGAGACAGGGATAAGACCAACACATACACAGATACGGCAACACGTATGACATGAAGAGGGGCCAAAGCGCATTCGTAACAGTCAGTCAGTCAGTCCAACAAGCGCACCTTGGTTGCGGCGCCCCCAGCCCTTGACGCGCAGGACCCGCAGCGATGGTGCCATGGACTCGAGCACGTGGAGCAGGGATGGGGTGGGGTGGTGGTCCACACGCACCTCACGACACTCAGACAAACGGCCTGCCGTTTCATGACACGCGGGGCGGTGGTGGTCAGAGAGTTGTGGTGTTGCGTCTGTGGTGTCTTGCCTTCACTTACCGGTCCATCGCTCGGCGATGTGCTGTTTGGGGCTGCTGTTGAGTTCGAGCATGGGGTGCATGGCCGGCTGCTGGACGAGGGAGCTGAAGTAGGTGTTGACCGCGATCAGGGACGTGACGCAGGGGAGGAAGCCCAGGTAGGCCCCCACGCCGACACGCTCCCCGTCGCTCAGCCAGAGAGCTTCGGGCAGACCCTCTATCGTCAGATCGTCATCCTGACACACACACACACACACACATTGGGCGTGTGTGTGGGTGTTTGGTTCGGGCGCGTACGATGTCGTTGTTGATTCTGTCCATTTTGTCCTCGAGTGTCTTCATCTTCCTCAGCGCCTGCTCCGTCTGCTGCTTGGCCACCACCCCGTTGTGGCGCACCTGCTCCTCGGCGTCCCCCAGCAGCATCGACACCAACACCCGCATATTCCTGTCCAGATCCTGTACCCCAGGGGTGCGTGAGCACAACCACACACACACACACACACACACACACACATGGTGGCTTCCTGAAGGTGAGGGCGTGGGGGGTGTGGTGTGGTGTGATGTGATGTGTTGGTGTGACCTGCACGCGACTCTGTGTGGCGGGTGTGTCGTTAGGACTGAGGGCGCCCCTCACATCAAACACACGCTTGGCCTGCATACCATCGCATCGCATCGCATCGCATCGCATCGCATCGCATCGCATCACGCACACATCACACCACACAGAGAGAGCAATACATGATCATGTAGAGCACGACGGAGCACTACATGATCATCCATCTCGCTCACGTTGTCCCGCAGATTCTTGACTCGTGCTAGCTGTTCCTCGAGTGTGTCGGCCAGCTCGTCCAGCGCCGCCAACACGTCAGAAGGGCCCTTCTCCCCCTCCTCTGCTACATCCATATCCCCACCCTGCACCAACACAACACACACAGATACATACTAATGCTCCGGCCACACCCAACACCATGCATGCCATGGTGTGCTGTGCTCCATCGCTCCCCCTCACCTCCATGTCGACGTCATCCGTCGCTATCTGCCCAGCCGCTGCTGCGGCGGCCGCTCCGCCAGCACCGTCCCCGCCATCCGCACTGCCCGCCGCAGACCCCTCCATGTCATCGCTCCTGGTCACCTTGGCCGCCACCCGCTGCCGCTTTTTGGCGGCGGCTGGTGTGCTGCCCCTCCGACGCTTCTTGGCCTTGTCCAGCTCCCAGTCAGATCCATCATCCTCCGAAGCCGATGATTCGGCCGCCATCTCCTCGTCATCATCATCCTCCTCCTCCTCATCTCGCGTGGCCATGCGCCGCTTGCGGATGGGAGAGCGCGATGCAGCAGCAGCAGCTGCGGCCGACGGAGATGCCGATGCAGCGGCAGCAGGAGCCGACGCCTTCCGCTTCGAACGGCTACGTAGGCCATCCATGCTTGGACTGACCCAGGGCTATCTGAAACGCTCTCTTCACCGGGAAGAGCGGGTGCAGGGGATTCAATTTCAGAAGTATTCTCCAGCTCGCAGGTCAAGGGTGAAACCGCTGGAAGAGGCAAATGCTGCGAGAGGCAACCGCTGCAAGAGGAGGCCAAGTTTCTGTCGCATTCAGCGAAGGTCTGCAGCTTTGTCCAGAAGGTGCATGCACGTTGCGCCTGGTGAGTGAGTGAACACATTGTGATTCGTATCCACACGTACACATGAGTGAATCGTGTCACGACGTGAGTCGCCATAATGCTCGTCCCTGCATCCATCCCATCCATCAGTCAGTCAGTCCGTCAGCATGCCTTAGCATGCCTTGCCTTGCTCGTCGACATCGATCGCATCTATCCACACATGAATGAATGAAGCCCCACACGCCCTCCCTCCCCTGCCCTCCCCTCTCGACTTCCCATCCCATCCACACGTACACATTCCACCTCAACACATGATGGGCTTGGCCTTGTCGGTCACAGGCCCCTCATGCCGCCGTTGTCGAGCCAGGGCTTGTTCAGTTCATGCGCACCTTGGGGAAGCGGCGGAATGAATGGCATGCCGTCCTGCCTGCACACAACACAAACAGAGGGAGAGAGAGGGTTCCGTGATCCACACACCGACCGTTTCTCTCCTCGCCCTCCTCGCTGATTGGATTGCTGGCGGCTTGCCTTGCCTGTTTGGGTGTGGTGTGCCATCCATGTATGGCGGTGACGCTCTCGATCGATGAGCATTGATGCCGATGGTCTTTCATGCCAGAGGGGAAATCGTGGGGGTTGAACAGAATGTCAGGCACCAGACCCGACTCCTGCACACCCCCAACATACACACACATGGAAGGAAGACACACACATCCATCAATATGCCCACCACCGTGCCTGTCCCTCCCCCTCTCTCCATGCTCTCACTCACGGTGAGTGAATGGCATATCTTCGTGTGTGTGGCCAGAGTCGGCTGAGGATGGGATGCCCTTCTGCCCATGGCATGGCGCGACGAGAACGAACTTGTCGCCGGCCCACAATGGGGTCGCGGTTGCACCGCAGCTTGAGCAGCACCCTCTCGGCGACCTGTGAGGTCTGCTTGCGGTATGCGGCCACGTCAGGTGGGCTGATGCGGTTGGTTGATGCGCTCACGAAGGCGTCCTCCTCGTCGTTGCGGATGTTTTCGGCGCGCTTCTCATCCTCACTGTCAGTCAGAGGTGTCGGCATTTAGTTCCGGGTCGCTTCGGGCACGTTGAGTTGTTTGCCCCTCTTGCGCTTGCGCTGTTCTACTCCACGCAGCGCCTTTACAGAGTCGATCTGACCACACGCAGACAGACAGACAGACAGACAGACAGAGAGAGAAAGAGAGAGAGAGAGAGAGAGAAGACAGTGCACAGCACAGGTGTGTCTGTGGGTGTGGGTGTGTCTGTGCCCACCTGGGCGATTGGTTGTGGTCGCTGAAGGGCGTGAGTGAGGCCAGGCCATGATGGACAGATGGCATGGCCATTCGACGGCTTTTACTCATCTCCACGTGTGTGTACTGTACTTGACGGGCGACTTCTCGTACAGTTTGTCGAACTCGTCGTGCAGCCAGCCACACGCTCCGCTCCCAGCCGGCCGGCTCCTTGGGCCGCATCGCTTCTCATCCTCATTCACTCACTGTCAGTCAGTCAGAGGTGTCGACTCGACATCTAGTTCCTTCCGGGCCGCTCGGTCCTCCCCCTCAGCGCGTTTGTTCTTCTGCCGCTCTCTGCGGGCCTGACGCTCCTCCTTAGCCTTACTTGCGAATGACTGGCCGGCCGCCTTGATCTCCTGGATCTTGATTGACGTCCTGCTGGCTGGTTGGCGCTGGATGATGAACAAATACGTACAAGGATAGTAGAACCTGCACACAACGAAAAGGGGGACACGACAGACACATGGCCAACCCCGCCTCCGCCTCCCATCACGCACACCACACCCTCACCCGCCACCCACTCGACTCACCCGCAATTCTGCCCGATAGATAGCGACGATCTCCATCCATGTGTTCGGGCAGCCCAACCAGCGAAGCCGAGTACCTTCCTGCGACATTCTCAGCGACAGAGACACCACACCCGCTCCAGCAGCTTAGCTCCATCTGGAGGCGGCCGATGATGCATGCTATCTATCGGCCGTCCAGGACAGGATGATGTGCATCGCACCCACAGGCCAGGCAGCGCAGCCCCCAGGGCGGCGCCTCGTTGGCAGACGTCATCAGGCAGGCACCCGAGACAGACGTGTCAGTCAGCACCTTGGCCAGTCGGTGGGAAGTGAAGGCCCCCAGATGTTGGGGCGCTCGTCTGCCAGACAGACAGACAGACAGATACAATCAATGCAAAGGGGCAATGCAGTCAATGTGGGTCTGTCTGTCTGTATGTTCGTGCGTGTTGGTGGGTATGCTATCTTCCCACCACATATGGATGCGTCTTGTGTGAGGTGCAGGAGAAGGCTGTCGGTTACTGGCGTCTGCGGTTGCCATTTCTGTGGACAAGTAAGTAGTGAGTGACACACATAGACAGACAGACAGACAATCGGCTGATGTGTGAAGAGCCCAATGTGTGTGTGTGTGTGTGTGTGGGCTTGCTTACGGTCTGTACTGGAGGTGGTGGTTGATGAGCCGATTTGCCACCTCGGCGGTGGTGGGTGGTCGAGTCGGACTGGGGGCCATCCCTAGCTCCCATACCTTGAAAATCTCGTACTCCTCCAGCCGCTCCTCATAGGACAGGAGGGGAGGGGGAGGCGCGTCTCGGCATGTCAGCCTGCGGTTGGGAGCGGGCGGCGCGTTGGGGTCTCTCTGGAGGATCGTGACCCCGCCGTACACCGGCTTGGCACCGCCGCCCCCTGGGTTGCCGACTGGTGGACTCGCCGCCGCACAGCTCCCCTTCGGCACCCACTTCTGCCGCCCCTTGGTCCCAGCCTGAGAGGGTGCCGCAGCGTCGCCTTGCTCTTTGCGCACCTCCTTGGCTACAGCGGCTCCCCCCGACACCACCTGACGCACGACCTTGGGCACCAGCCGGCTCCCCTGCCCCTCTGCCCCACCCTCCCCTGGCCACTTATCGCCCTCATGCGCCACTGTCACATGCGGCGGCCCGCCAGTCCTCTTGCAGGCAGCCGTCGCCTTATTCCCTTCGGGCTTGGCCTTGCCGGCAGCCGTCGCCTTATTCCCTTCGGGCTTGGCCTTGCCGGCCGTGCCTGGGGGCTGCTTGGCGGCCGTCACGCTGGCCGTCTTGGTCTTGGGCTGCGGTGGCGTGGACTTGGCGCTTTGTTTGGCTGCAGGCTTGGCCTTTGCCGGCGGAGGCTTCGGGTGGTGGGCATCCGAGGCTGAATGAAACAAAAGGAAGGAAAAGGCAGACGAACGACAGAAATGATTTCTCAGGCAGGTGTCACTCGGGTGTGTGTTGTGTGCTTCCACCGCACCAGATGTCCCCTCCGTGGTCTCGGTGGTATGCGCCTCCTCGGGCGATTCCGCCGCGGCCCGCCCTGCCCCAGCCTCGTCCAGCACTGCTGCGGCTGCAGCTACCGCGACAGGCACCTTCTCACCACCACCACCACCACCGGGCGCCTTGCCGTCTGAGGGCGCTTCCTGGGGGAATGGCGAGGCCGACGGGAGAGGGGAGTCCGCAGCTGTAGAAGGACTCACTGGCTCCCTTTCCTCTGACACACCATATGACACACGCAAAGAGATACATAGATAGATGTGATCTGAGCGCAGCGCAGATGCGATGCCGCCCTCCCCCTTATTCTCCCAGAAATGATTTCTCAGGCAGGTGTCACTCGGGTGTGTGTTGTGTGCTTCCACCGCACCAGATGTCACCTCCGTGGTCTCGGTGGTATGCGCCTCCTCGGGCGATTCCGCCGCGGCCCGCCATGCCCCAGCCTCGTCCAGCACTGCTGCCGCTGTAGCTACCGCGACAGGCACCTTCTCACCACCACCACCACCACCGGGCGCCTTGCCGTCTGAGGGCGCTTCCTGGGGGAATGGCGAGGCCGACGGGAGAGGGGAGTCCGCAGCTGTAGAAGGACTCACTGGCTCCCTTTCCTCTGACACACCATATG